AGGGAATGTTTTCTGACAGTTCTGGCGGCCAGTCTTAATTTGTTTAGCTAGAAGCATTTGCCGAAAGTGCCGGTGCCGGTAGCAACAAAAACTGCAGGGAACTATGCAAAAAGCGCATCTTCGCACCGGCAGCTTGTGCGTTGGCCAATTATTGAATTAAATACGCATTTTGAAAAGTTTTTTTTAATGAGTTACTGTTGTTTTTGACATGTATAGCCGGCTTTTTTGCGTTGATTCGCAGTGAAGTGCTTGATGTGTTGCTTTTTTGTTGGTTGCTTATGTAAATAATCCTTGAATTTTTCTAAATTATGTTTTTTAGGTGTGCATTAGATTTCGATTTTGAAAAATTATGCTCAGTTTCGCTATCCCATGTGAACGTCTATGCGTGCATGGTGTGCGGGAAATATTTTCAGGTAATTTGATGAACTGAGTTACAGCTGAATAAGGTTCGCTAATGATAAAATTACCTCAGGCTAGGTTAGTTAATCTTAGCAACAGTAGTTCTGAATAAGAAATAACTGTTTTTGCGTTACGCTGACCCCCCAAACAGCAAGCAGGTGGATGCATATATCTCTTTCCCCAAAGCATTTGCGTGCTAAAAAATAACGGTGTTATTTTGACCACTGGCCAAGCGGACATCGACAGATAACCACCCGGATTTAGGCGGGAATATCGCGGGTACAATGTCTTCTCGACTTGCTTGGTACCACCAGGGCTTGCCTCTCGCCCTGCCTCGAAATTGTCTGATCCGTTGCCGCTCCCACACCACAATGAGGCCCTTGACTTGGAATTTAATGAAGATTCTGTTTTATATTTATCGTAAGTATAGCAGTTTTCTGTAAAATGTTGAATTATGGCAATTTTCTGTAAAACGTTTGATTAGCACTTTATCGATTGCCTTTTTTTTCAGTGGCGCTATCCTTGTTCTTAAAAAATTCCAGTTAGTCCCTGCTTGAATACACATATAAATATACATAAATACATACACACGTACATACATGTATACATACACATATACACACAAGTATATATATATATATATATATATGTATATGTATATATACATATATATGTACATGTACATACACATATATGTGTGCATATATACATGTACATATGTATGTACATACATATATACATATGTATATACATATATATACACATATATATATGCATATATATATATGAATATTCGGTTATCAAACCGCTGAATTAGCGGTCTCAGTTTCATGTCTTCTTTCTAATTAGGTCCTGCTGGTCAGGTTTTTTAGTATCACACTGCATTGGCAAGACTCAGCATATAATTTTACCACATTTAGACGCAGGCAACACATTATTGGCCGCTTTGATGCAGTTGCGGCTTTTATAGCGATAAGATGCCTGCTGAATCATTCTTCGACACAAGACAAATTCTTGTACCGCTTGTTGTTTCGTCAAAAACAGATTTAACAATTTTAGGGTCGAGGAACGAGCACGCACGCCTACACACATTCACTGGATACAAATCATCGCGTTTTTCTCAATTTGAGTACTTTGAAGTTTTATTGCCTGCCAGATAATTATGAGATAATTGATCCATCGTTGGATGATATCAAGGTAATCTTACTTTTGCTCCCTCAAATATTAAATTTCACGATAAAAGAGGCTCTTCTTGAAGGAAGTACATCATTATCATAATGCGGACAAGCCATTTCTATGAATTTCAAGAATCAGTATGAAAATCCACAGTCTCTAATTGAGGGGAAATTCGTTGCAAGGGATTTTGCAAGTGTATCGTTCGTTGCTTTCATTTGCATTTTTCAGTATGTGCTAAAACCAAGTTATACTGGAAATTATATAATGGGAATCGATAAGATGGGGAAAATGTCGCGTGCATTTGATGGCACAACGTATCATCCCGGTGTTATTGGTCTGAACAATATCAAAGCTAATGATTACGAAAATGTGGTACTCCACGTAAGTCTTATTATCTGGTAACTCGAGTTAACACTATTAATCACGCGAGTGTTTTCAAAAATTTGCGAACTCTTTGAAAAGAAACCTGAAAACTAGTTTTCATGCGT